AATAAATAAATGACAATGTTGTACTACACTTGCCAATAACTATCTATAGTTGTCTTTTTGACATAAGAACAATTAGGTAAACAACAGGGAAAGTGGCAAGTTATACATTTACGTCAAAAAGGATTATGTGTGTTCACTCATCAAAAGAAATGAAAACAAAAGTATTTTTAAACTACAGGTCACTAGTTGTCCCTTAGAACTTTTGGTTTCCTATGCTGTTCAACTATATAATTGATTTGGCCTGATTTAATTCGTGCACTACTGAGACGAACCCCGTGTTTGTCCTACTAGTAACAAATTTTCTCGGTAAGGCGCGTATATTCGCCGTGTAAGCATAGATTTCTGCCTGGGCGTGCCATGCATGATCCCGTGCGTCCGAGGAACGCTTCCTGATAACACTAGCTGAGTCTTGTTATCATATTTATACATCAGCTATCAAAAAGAAGCTGAAAACATGCTTCTATTCAGTATTTTTACCGGAAATTTACTTTCGTTTTTCTGCATTCATTGACATAAATCCCGAGTAATACGAAAATAATTATGATCACTTACGCTAAATGGATAAACGCAGAGACGATCGAAATCTGTTTACATCACCACGTTTACCTTTTTGAGCAACGGACAACTCGAACAGGGACTCAGATCAACTATTTGCTATAACGCTCTATTTATAGCGAAAGGAGCTTTCCAGTTATAAAATATTAAAATAGTAGATTTCACGCAAAGATCATATAGATAAGAGTAAATAACGCACACGAAAACGAATAGAAGGGTTGAGAACGCATATTTTTGACATATAATTGGGTTTTCCTTTGCATGAATTGGGATTTTGAACGCTGCAATCGTCAATTGCATTGGGTTTTCAATTGTTTTTATTGGGTGATCACGCAAATACGCAGCTTATCTGGAGCACTGCAGTGGTTCGTCCAAATATTTTTATTGTGATTCGTCAGAGGCCTAAAAAAATTATCGTTACTGTTAATTTTGGAGAAAAAATTAACGTGATTCGTTAAAATCAGTCGATTTTTTTTATCGTCTAAAAGAAAGTGTACATTTTATCGTAATGACCCAAACATTACCGTTAACTTCATTTGGCAAGACTATTTACCCTTATTCGTCATGATGGTACCCCCATTACCAACCTCTTATTTGGTATGCAGTTGTATTTATCATTAATGGCATTTCTTATTTCTACTGACATTTTTAGTAATGGTTCATTCACTTTGAATATTTGGCATATTTTAACATTTCAGAGTATAACTGTTTGATTTCATCATTTGAATTTTTCTACCAAATTAACTTACAGACTGTGTCAAGTTTAGTTTTTAACTTTTACATATTTTAGCGACAACAAATGAAGAAATACTTTTGATATTTCTAAAGAGAAAAATGACGAGTGATTGCTAAATCACTGGTAAGCCAAAAAAAAAAAATAATCTTCCACCTGGGACTTGCACATAAATTTACATATTGGTCCCATTGCCCACTTACATGTACTAAAATTAATGGTTGTTTCCTTAGCGTTCATTTTTTAAACTTCAATCATTAACATTTCATTCAACCTAGATGATTCATTTGAACTTGAAATTATCAACATGAACTGAAAATAAATTGCTATTATCATGATTATATCTATTTTAATTTTTACTGAAATTTCATATAATTGTAGGATTGATGATTAAAAGATTTGACTACAGCAAAGTTCAATGAGGCTCATCATATTGTGCTGCCAATATTGCGCACTTGAGTAGGAAGATCAAAATGTTTGTAGTGAATGGACATAAGGAAATAGCTTGCCTTCAAATGGACCAACATTTCTGAAGTCAAGGATGACAACTTAGTCTCTATTCATGGAGAAATTGCATAGCCATGTTTGAACCTAAAGAACAGATTTACCAAATCTGAATCACAGATAAAACAATAAGACATGATAACTATAAGAAGACTCTGAACAATCTGAAAACTATCAATTCAGGAATTCCATTTACATGATGTATGTGACAGAAGTTTTAAAAAACATTTGAATGTTGAGATTGGTTGAGTATCTCGATGAGAAGAACTTTCATTCTGAAATCAGAATTTGGATGATTTTTTCCTGTATGAGCGTAAATTAATCTCTAATTTGGTCAGTTATTTTTTTTAAATATTATAATACATGATTGCAATAATTTGTGCAATTTATTTTTTTCTTTTTGAAAAATGTTGCATGCTTATTATGACATACATTTTTGTCTCGCAGTGTCGCCAAACAAAGGCATTACTATCCGAAGGTGACAGGGTCAACTATTATATTTTAGAAGTTAGAAGACCTGGATTATCAATATAAACATGGAGAGCTTGTTTTTGCAGATACCTAATGTTACAAAGTTTCCGTCTGTCATATGTCTAATGTCCTGGTCCTCATTTTCATGGTTCAGTGACTGCTTGAATATTTGTTTTAGTTTTTTTGGTCATGTGAATTTCTCACTTATTATGAATAATATTAGGATAACTATATTTGGTATATGGGTTACTTGCTACGTCTCCATTTCGTTTAGACAGGGTTTACCTGACCTCAATCTCATTTCTTTCATCAGTGATCAAGGTTAAAGTTGCATGCATGAATAGGTTCATTTCTCTTATACTATAAGCAGTAGGTCAACTATGTGTGGTGTATAGAATGATTGTAAGGAATATATGTCAGTCTCGATCTGACAGGTTCCTTTTGATCTTGACCCCATTTTCATAGTTCATTAGACAATGATAAGTTTTTATGTTTTGGTCCTTCTAACAAGTACTTTAAGCAATAGGTTAACTTTATTTGGTCTATGGAATAATTATAAGTACATGTCAGTCTGGCAGGTTTCATATAACAGTAACCTTATTTTCAGGGTGCATCATGATGTTGTTGTGTGTGTTTTGGTCTGTTGTTTGAGTACTGTTAGCGATAGGTTAAACTATATTTGGTGTATAGAACGATTGCAAGGTGTATATGCCTATGAAGTTGGTGTTATCTGACCTTGACCTCATTTTCATGATTCAAAGGTCCACGTTAAGGTTTTGTAGTTCAGGTCAGTTTTCAATTATCAATAGCATTTCAATATTGAAGCATTTAACATAAAAAAAAATGTATAATTTTGATAATAGCATATGATTTTTGATAGAAAGAAGGTGGAATATGCATACTTTACTGTTTCTAAGGAGTATTTGTTATGCAGATCCCTTGTTTAAAAAAAAAACCACCAGGTTTTAATACAAAATTCAAAGCATGACAGTGTCAGTGACTATAATGATAGGTCTCAAACCAATATGAATCTGGTATAAGAAGTAAGCTCTCACCAAAAGTGGGAAACTTTTGAAAATATCCCTCTTTATAGGTATACATGTATGCATACAAATGTTAATCAGTTATTAGTTAGGGGGTAATGAGAACCCATCACAATATTTATAATGGCTTTTTCCTAGATGTTTATTAAAAAACAGCTCTTTAGAATAAAAAAAAATACATGTTGATAGTATCTTTTTATTATGTTTTTAGATTTTAATTATTGGCATGGAAATAATCTGTTTTGTTACTAGGAGGTTTAAGTTGTTGCTAATGAAATGTAGATATTGTTCAATTTACTTATTTTATATAGAAATGATTGATATCTGACCACTTAATTGTCACTTTTTGCAATGGAGAACATTTTTGTTTAAAAAAAAAACAAAAATTTAAAGTTTGTTCATTTTGGTTGCTAAGGACATTTTTCGGTTTCTATGTAATACTTTCTGGAAAAAAAAGGGAAAATTGACAACACTCGAATGTGACTAGCTTAAATAAATCATAATGAGTCCATTTATAATCATTTAGACTTTAATATTGAATACATTTGTTACAATTTGTTTTTTAGCTTTGTTTCTATGGTTCTCCATATTTGGAAAAAAACCACCAATCTTTAATGAAATAATGAAAGTATGACCTCTACTTGTTCCATAGTAAGTAACACCATGTATGTGCTGTTCTGGTAATAGACAATATTTGAACTTGATTTCTGGCCTTTTGTGGCTTTTTTGGACATTATGGTCCATGGAGACCATCCGTACCCTAGAATGAAATAGAATTTCATCAAAACAGTTGTTCTTCAAGAATGTTTGAAAGTTGAAAAGTTTGCAGTACAATGATTGAATACTACTTTTTATATAAACAGCAGTTTTCATGAGACTGAAATAGTGAAAAACTGTGAGTTTTATGCTAATCTCAATAACTCGTTCTTTAGAAAAATCAAATGGCTCTGTTTCCATAGCAACCATATGAGATTGGTAAGAAGTATTTTTTTCTTTATAACTTGATATTCAGATGATTTGTGCAAGTTATCATGACTATCATGTTTTGGTCACTGCCTGATCTTTAGGCAGACTGGCACTTAATTAAGATTTATACCACTATTACCAAATTGGAAATACACCATTTTAAGATTCACACGACGAGCTAGTATTTAAAAAGTAAATTGTATGTATAATATTATCACATGAAGTCGCATTGTATAACTTATCCAGTTGCAAGTCTTTATTAATCCCCCAACATTAGTGATACATGTTTGTGAGTGGTGTGTAATAAAGTGTATATGATGTATTTGCTTTCAATACGACACCCCATTTCAATCTCTTATCAAATATCATACTTTCAGCAGAGCTCTAGGATATGTCTTGGGTTGATGCAGTTGTAATATTGAAAATACAATGCACATTAGTCATACCTTTAACATGTTTAAAATAGATTAATTTTGACTAAGTATATAATAAAATTCACTAGTTTTAGAAAAGATTAATTATGAAAGTTTCAACAATATTTTTTGACGTCCCGATTTTGAGCCTTACTATCATAGAAATATATGGGTTTGTTTGTGGTTTGAAAAGAAACTTATCACTGTTTTCAAAATAAGTTAAAATTCCACAAAACGACAATACAGTACGTAACTGTTACGACCCCCTTAAAAAGATGAATAATAAAAGTACATCTTACAAAAGTTAATACTGACCTATTGACGAGACTCTTCTATACGAATGCATTTATAATAAATCTCCATTCGGAGTAGTAATACGATGTTTAAAATGTTGAACCTGTACAGCTTGTACTGGTATTCTATTTTAAAAAGGGAAATGTGTCTACCAATTATCAATATATCATTCTGTTATATACCTAAGATAAAAATACGAAAAGGGTCATTTCCTAATTACCCTTTGTCATCAGAACTGAACCGTTGTATTCAAATAGATATTCTATTAACAAAGACAAGCTTACATGTATTATAATCGGGAAGAATTCCTAAGCAATATAACAATCACTTATTAACTATTGTCAAATATCAAATGTTCACCAGTTGTTAAATGCATGACATGTATTTTTAAAGAATAAATATTTTGACTAATACTATCCATTGAATTACATTATCTTAAATCGTCTCTTCTGTAGACACTCCTGGAGAATGCTTACATGGCAATATTTGTGAACGATAATCTAAAACCTATGCAAACTATTTAAATAAAATGGAATTTGATAGCAAAGCAAAATTAAAGAAATACATCTGTGTAAATTTGATATACACTTAATTAACTATTAACAAAGTCATGCTTATCGGAATGCATGCCTCGGCAAAGTTAACAAAATTAATTATTTTCAAATATCAAATGTCCACTCGTTAATAAATCAACGAAATGTTTTTGTGAAGAAGTGATTGCAAGCTGATAATATACATTACATAACATAAGATTCAATCGTTTCTTTAGTAGAAATACGATAATGTTTACACGGCAATATTTGTAAACGGTTAGTCAAAACTTATGTGAAAAAAGCAAACATTTAACAAATTGTCTTTTAAAATACAACAGAATTTCTCATATCTCAAATAACAGAAATTTGAATAAAAACAAAAGCTATAAACGTTGTTTTTAAATGTTCTCATTTGTAGTGAAATGCGTCTTGATTTAGGTGAGTTTTTGGCAATAGTTTTAGGACTCTGTTTAAAATTTGATATTTAATTTTTGTTTGATAGAGATATGATACAATTTCTTTTGTATAGTAAGCATTACCTTTACCATGCTTAGATGTGCAACTGTGCTATTGATATTTCTTCGCATTCCTTATATTTGAACGCAGAATATTCAGATTTTTACAAATCACGTGAAAACACGCGATTTAACATCCGGAAAATCTTATTTGAATTCAAATTTTAGATGTACTAAGTTAACAAGAGTACAAACAGTTTATTGTTTTTGTTTTCAGATAAATTTAATTTAATTAAGATATGTGTCTATATTAAAGCTCGAAGTAAAATGTTTTTGATCTGTCTTTTAAGATCGAATTTGTAGAACTGTTTTTCACACAAAGCATGTGAAACGTGACAGTTTTAGTTTACAAAATGATATCTGCATTTGACACGGTACTTTTATTTTTATAATTTTAACAATGCAAACTCTATAGAGCAGATAATTTTGAATTTTAAACACTTTGAAAAGTTGCTTTTGCCTGTCAATGTATGCAGTTACGAATAATTTCCACTTAGGGATGATACTCTGTTACTCTCAAAATAACAAGCTTTTTAAAAATCGTTTGGCGGGAAATGAATTTATCTAGCCTTTTCATACATATATCATACAATGGTACTTTTTTTTCCTTCATAAACAATGAAAAATAACAAGGACTTTATATACGTTATAAGAATTTGAAAAAATAGCTTTTTAAAATATATGTATTAAAAATTATCAAAAGAAAAGTAGTGGTAATTATCAAAAGAAAAGTAGTGGTAAGTGTGTAAAACTTTGAATTGCACAACAGAGATAAAACCAGAGGATTCCGGATATCCGACAAATAGTCAAAAATAAGAGCAGCGAACATCTTTAAACAAAAACGTGAGACTTCTGCATAATGAATGTACTTACAACAACAAATTAAATCAAAGTAGAGTGTCACAACACTGTACTATGTATACCTTCTTCAGAAATACTTCAAAACGACAGTTAAACATTATTTGATTAAATTTCTTTGGATTGAAAGACCTATTTGAAAGCAGTTATGAATTTTAAGTATTTGATTTACTTCAGTGCGTTTATATATATAAATATATATGTGTGTACCTGAGTTTTACACCAGGCTACAACATATTATTTCATTTATACTATTAAAATTTAAAACGTCACAACAGACACGGGCATAGCGAACGAGTTGTAAACACCGTAAGATGGTGCCGAAGGAACATCCCCATCTAAAAAAAGAAAAATCGTCCCTTTTGTCGTAAATTTTAGTGTAGAGTTTCCCGTGTAAAACTGAAATATCTAGATCTAGGAAAAGACAGTTATTACCGTTTATATCTGATTTATGTAAAGTAAGTTCCTTTGGGTAAATTTCGGTTATATATTAACTTGAATATTTAACGAAAATATATTATCAAGATAACGGTAAGTGTTAAATTTAATTTGTCAATTGAATGCAATTTAAACGGGTCTTTTCTGAGTTTGGTCATAAACTGTGATGCATAACAATACAAGAACGTGTGTGCTTTTTTTAAATCTATTTCAATTTTATAGTTAAATTACTGTCCTGTTTTGGTTTTTTTTTTTTATTATTTTGTGCTCATTTGTGAACCTTATCTTATCCTAATCCAATGATCAAGATTAAAAAGGGTCAAACACTTTAACAAATTACTTTAATTGCATAAAGAATTTAAACAGTTTACAATCTTCAATATTTTAAATATGATTCTAACATTGATAAACAATCACCGAATTGTGTGATGCGGCTTTAAAGTCCGTCAGTATACTCATAACTTAATATTAAGTAAAGGCCTAGAACGACTTTATTTTGATATATTTTATATCAGGCAAGAGCTACATGTAAAGTGTTTCATTCTAGATTTGAAAAAAATGATTGATTGATTGGTTGGTGATTGCTTTCCACCTCATCAGCACAAACAGGGTAAAACCGCAGCGCTGACAAAATGAAATTACGAATACAAGTAATGATTTTACCGTTAACGTGATGAAATGCATTTGTTATAACTTGATCCGACACAGCTTGAAATGATTTCATATGCTTTTGTTTGTGTAATCGTTTCCTTAACACATCGTAGGTTCAGAGAATTGTTAAACAGGACTAAAGATTTTTGTCAATATATTCACTATTGTAAGAGTATCAAATGTCTTATTTATAATTTTGTTGCTATGATTCAATTGATCGGCGAATAATACTACCTTCGCAACAATTGACTTTCCAATATAAACAATATAACACAATTGATTTCTTTTAATCTTAAAGAATTTCTTTACTTTTCTATTGGAAGGTTAGCAAAAATCACTTGTTTTTGCAGAAACATGGCTTTTTGATTCATTTTGGTTTTTAACATAACTTTTATGATTGATTATTGTATACCTCATTCATATAAATGCAAATCTAACGAAGACTACACTGGGAAATGGGGGTATTTGACCTGGACAGTCGGCGTCGTGATGATTATAGATGATTATTTAAAATTCTGACTTTTTTTAAATCTGATTTTTATTACCATACAGCTTGACATTCAGTTACACGAAGCCTGCTGTACATAAGAGGCTTGGGAGAATGAAACAAACATACTGTAGTACATAGTAGACCTAATTCCGTTTCTTGCAATGACGTTGCCAAATTCTAATCGGCTTGTGGCATAAATTTCCCGTTTATATCTTTCACTTCCCTTTACACTACAACTGAGTGCTAACCTGTTCAATAGTTAACTTGAAGCTGACTTGTTGACTGTTTTTTTTTTTAATATGGACAGTCTTCCATATTGGCATTTCGAGTGAACGGGAAAATTAGGTTTATCATTGAAAGACCAGAACTAAACGTATTTTATTAGGACTGAGCCAGACCTATCCACATATCCGCTCAAGACTACGTGTCCACAGAGCAGCTTCTGAAAGTCCTGATGACAAGGCTGTTTCAGACATACTACATCTGTGGGCAGGTTTGTTTTTTATCTGTCCAGAATATATCTATAAACTTGGTTTTTTTTTACATATTGTTGATAAGTCAAAATTGTAATTGATCATAGAAGCAAAAATCGTATTGTTCTATATTCTAGTACAGTAAAATAATATGCTCTATATAATTGGATTCTATGATGGTATCTATGGAAATTTCTTCTTTTAGTCATTCTATTAAGAATCACTTAATTGTTATATTATCTCGTATTTGTCTATCGACATCCATATACGTGGAAAAATCATACAAGAAGGGAATATTTTATTCAATTCAAATGTGTATTAAGGAGGTAAACCTCGGATTTGGGAGACAAAGGTAATGGAAGTCATTTGTACGTTTTAACCATGCAATACTTGAAAAAATGATCAAGCATTCATGTTGATTACATTTGGTTATGAGAATGTTGGAGGAGCATTACATACTGCTCACACCACAAAACATTGGATAGTTGTCTTATTTTCAATCATATCACATCTCATTATTTGTACACTAAATTAAGAAATAACATTTGTATTTATAAATTAAAAAATCAAAGGCTGGTAAAAAAGTAACAATTATACATGAAATGCTTTTAAAAAAAAATCAGAATGTTTTGGATTGACTATTAACAACTTTTAGATAAAAACTTAAAGATTAAGTAACTTTCAAACGATCAAATATATTCAACTGTGCGTTTGTTCAAGGTTTATAAACAATAACTGGTGTTTTGACGACGGAACGAAACACATGTGGTGCGGGATCTTCCTTATCTTTAGTAGTTCCTATGATCATTCATATGGTCAATTGGGTTCGTGCTTCTTCGTCTTTAGTGTCTAAGTGGTATCAAATACTATTTATTTTGACATCAAGTGTTTCTGCCATGGTGTTGTCCTTGACTTATATTTTGAACGTCCCTTTATTATATCAAGCCTTTTTTGGTGAAGTTACAATGCCGTTTCTATATATTCGAGGTAAAAGAAAGGACATCTCGATTACAATAACTGTTTTGAAATGGCAATCACATATCATTAAATGACAACAAGCCCATCAAAAGGTTATCGCAAATTTTATGTCTTATTAGTCACATCTGAAAACACAACGTAATAACACTCAAACACACAAAGTGTCCAATTAGTCAAATTGATATTATTGCCGGTTTTTTTTCCCGCCACTGACCATGATATTG